ATATTACAAGCATAACAGTAAAGACATTGCCAAATAGATGTTACCAGCTAAAAACAGTTTTCCTTCATTTTCCCCTCCCTACTTCTATTTATTCATATTGGTCATTTTCCAAATAATAACTATTATAAAATAAAATCAATAAATAAACTGGCAATTTTATGTCTCTAACTCCATACGCTGTTTCCATTGCTTTATATTAATTATTTTTACTTCCTTAACTAATCCATTAAAGACACTTGTTTTCCAACATAATTCTATTTGTTTTCAAAAGTACTCCTTTAGTTAATTTTGTTATATGTTATTTTGGAACACTCTTTTATAGATCACTCAATTAAAAATTTATCTCTACTCACCTCAACTACTATATAATATATGCAATATTACCAATCTAGTTTTCATTCTATCAGTCTATATCAAAAATCAAAATTATCTTCTTCATCAGCAGGAGGGGTCATGATTCTATATACTCATTATTTGTTTTATTTACTTAAACTCAGTATGGGGTCACATTCATATCAGGTTCCTCTAGAGCTGGTCACTTACCTAGCATATTTATAAGCCTATCTCCCCATCTATACAGAAAATTGCCCTGATTATGTCATAAGAGTTTCCGAATGTTACATGAAAGAGCAGATATATAGTGTTTTGCTTTGTTCAATATATATTTAGTCAGAAAGCATTCAATACCATTTTTGCTTTCAACATCATTAGCAATTTTCCGATTTTCAATTTAAAAATAAAATACCAATTTTGGAACAAGAGAGCAGAAAGTCTGGTAGAAGTTTAGTTTAAAAAAATCAACAGTATCTTTTAGGAAACTATATTCAGTCAATACATAATCCCAGGCAGAGAGAAGTAGCAAGATTCTTTAAAAATCATTCATTAGCATAGGTCATTCTTATGGGCTGGGCAAAAAGTTTGCGATGGGTGTGGTGGCTCGTGCCTGTAATTCCAGTACTTTGGGATTACAAAGCTTGAGCTCAGGAGTTCAAGACCTGCCTGGGTAATGTGGCAAAACCCCGTCTCTACAAAAAGTACAAAAATTACTTGGGAGTTGTCGCACGTGCCTATAGTCTCGGCTATTCTGGGGGTTGAGGCGGGAGGATCACCTGAGCCCAGGAGATCAAGGCTGAAGGGAACCAAACCACTGCACTCTAGCCTGGGTGACAAAGTAAGACATGTATCCAAAAAAAAAAAAAAAAACAGCCAGTTTCATATGAAAACAAAGAAACATTTATTCTTAAGAATCCACAACACTTGAGTGTACAAAAAACTGGCAACTAAGGACTTTTCCTCTTAATATTTGCAGCACATCAATATTATGGCTACAATTCTGATCTCAAAAATACCATGTATCTTAACTTTTAACACTGATAAAGGAAGACAGTAATAATTATAAAAATCTAGACAAGAGTGTTAGAAACAGAAAAACAATATAGTTGAACTAATACTAGGAAGATGAGGATGAAAAACAAAAGTTCTGTGCAGTATCAGGAGAGAACCCAGGGTAGCTTACTGGCTTATAAAGTAACCAGGGCATAAAAAATCTCATGGTATGAAATTTATTGCTTAAATACCTTTCCCCCATTTTTATTTTATTTTAAATAAATGGATTCACTTATATTCTCTTTTAGAATTAGTAACTACAAAGTGTCTTGGAAATAGGAGGAGGATTTTCTTCAAGAATCTACATCAAAGCAATAGTAAAAGCTTCATTATCCATGCAAGTAGATGTGAGAAGAACATGATCACAAATGTTCCTACTGGCCTGTGTTAATTTGACATTTACACTGAATGTTAATATCTGATTTTCATGGTTCAAATAATAACAAAGTATTTTTTGTAGCACTTTAGTGCTCAAGTAATGTTAGAATGTTGTAATTTTTTAAAAATTCTCTGCTTATGTTCTGTCATATAAAATACACTATACTGAAAATAAACTGCATCACTTCTCAGACTAAAGAAACATACCCCCAAAATCCTTTCTCTCCCAATGAAACAAACCATACCTTAACTGGGGAAGTTAATTATATGCCTGGGTTTCACAAACCAACTGCTGTTGCCAGCTGCATTCTAAATAAGAGTAAATAGAGACAGTTTGAGCTGTCAACAAAAGACATAATTAAGTAGGAAAAATGCTGTCAATAAAACATAGATACATTTAAAACTTTAGAAAACAAATAGGGCCAACCGGATTTGGACTGTATTGTATAGTCAATACATTCTTAACCACTAAGTAATTGGGTCAAGTAAAAGTAATCTGCAAAGGCTAAGGTCTTCAAACATATACATGGCAAAATAAGATTTTGTTCAAATATAGGTTAAAAGAGATTGTACAGCCTTTCTCAACTAGGGTTCCACAAGAAAATAAAGCCCCACATACAATTATTTGAGGGCTATTTCCCAATTCTGCTGAATTCTAGAAGCATTAGAGAAATGATTCATTACATACAATGAATGTGTTAGGTCTTAATTATCTACCAGAACTGGTTGAGAGGGGATTGTGGAACATCTTATGAACTACAAAAACTGACTGCATATTTTTCAGTTTGAAACATGTCATGGATACAAAAGGCATTCCATCCCTCACTCTTCTAACCATAATGTTAATGTGTATGTTCTTCAAACTGCTTTCACATTTACTGTGTCATTATCCATCTAAACAGCTCCGGTTATCTGGACACAATTTGCAGAAAGCAGATTTTTTACTGTTTAAAAAAAGGTTTTTTACTCTAGTTTCTAAGATAAAATTAATTTTTACTCTGCTGAATACCAAAAGATCCTAACTATGTGGGACATTTAAATTATTAGTAGTATATTTGGCATAAACTAAATTATACAACAGGTCTGCTAGAAAGCACTATCTCTTAGTTATGGTAGAAAACAGTAAATTCTGCAAACTTCTAACGATTAAGGGAAAAAAAACCACATCCGTAGCACCAAGCTGATTTTTTAATGTTTAACCAACTTTTACATTTCTAATTGGAACATATTATGAATCATCATTTCTCTATGTCCACATTTTTCCTCAGATACTTAATATCAAGAAACAAATTGTACAAATTCTATATAATCTATAGACTTTTGTAGTACATCTATCTTGGCATACCAGGAAAGAAGAGAGGCCCATTAAAAAGAGAGACTCAGGGGCCGGGCGCGGTGGCTCAGGTCTGTAATCCCAGCACTTTGGGAGGCCGAGGCAGGCAGATCACGAGGTCAGAAGATAGAGACCACCCTGGCTAACACGGTGAAACCCTGTCTCTACTAAAGATACAAAAATTAGCCAGGCGCGGTGGTGGGTACCTGTAGTCCCAGCTATATGGGAGGCTGAGGCAGGAGAATGGCGTGAACCCGGGAGGCAGAGCTTGCAGTGAGTGGAGATCGCGCCACTGTACTCCAGCCTGGGCGACAGAGCGAGACTCCATCTCAAAAAAAAAAAAAAAAAAAAGATACACTCAGGAAAAAAGGAGGGATGGCATGTGATTTCTAGCAAGTTTCATACTCAGTGAAAGGAAATGGAGAAAAGGAAAAAACAAATTAATCCAGTATTCACTGAGCACCACTTAGGTGTTCTAACATTCTTAGAAGATTTGGGGAAAGACTAAACAAAATATTGTCTTCACCTTGTATACTCTGAGGTCTACGGGGGAAGCAAAGAAACAGATGGAAACATCACCAATCCATACAAGGAAGGATATATAAGTAAATATTCAATTATGTGGTGCAGACTGTAAGCAGTGTAGGAACTGAGAGTAAAGCAAGACTAATGAGAACTGGAGTTGTAAAATATATTATGAAGGAAGGCAGATCTCAGCTTACCCTGGCAGGATGAGCAGAAATAACAGAGAGGATAACCATGAGCAAGAACATAAGGGCAGGTTTCTTTCTTTTTTCAGTACTATTTGTAACAACTTGAAAATAAAAGCATTTTGATTAAACGATTTCAAACGTGAACATGGGATTAATATTTGAAGTACTCAGTGAATTAATGCCTTACCAAAAATATATATACAAAAAGTTCTAGCAAAAATTTTGAGTCCCAGATCTACCAATTCCCCTACCATTCATAACAATATATAATTTCACACTTCTGCATACAAACCTGTTTATCCTTTATTATGCAATATGAGTATACTGGCATTTCAAACAAATATAGGAAGAAATGGGGTGGGATGAGGAATAACACCACAATGTTTAAGATAAATATTCCACTTCGCTGGTTAAAGTAGGGATTTGAGAGGGAAGGACAAAAAGATACTGATAGAGGCAGGGGACAGCCAAATGCCTAGGCAGATAGGGAAAGACTCTCAGTTAAGAAAGAACTTAAGGCTGACTTAATTTTTCATCTCTGTACAAATTAGAAAAGGTTGTCTCACATATTTCACTCTTAAGAAGAGAAAAAATGTCCAACTATGTGAGAACTCCAAAAACAGATGGAGTATCTGAGGCAAATAATATGCTAGAAAGCATTCCAGTAAGGGCTCCTATAAGAATATTCAAATGATCACTCTTTGAAAAAGGCAACACAGCAGGACATTGCTTTAGATACAGTGAGATAACCAGAAGAATTATAATTTCCATTGTTCAGATGAGGATCCAAAATACAACTTATTTATTGAGGATCCAAAATCCTATTTATTTATTTATTTATTTATTTATTTATTTATTTATTTATAATGTCTCACTTTGTCACCCAGATTGGAGCGCAGTGACAAGATCTTGGCTCACTGCAACCTCTGCCTCCTGGATTCAAGTGATTCTTGTGCCTCAGCCACCTGAGTAGCAGGGATTACAGGTGAGTGCCACCACGCCCGGTTAATTTTTGTAATTTTAATAGAGACACAGTTTCACCACATTGGCCAGGCTGGTCTCAAACTCCTTGCCCTCAGGACTCCTGGCCTCAAGTTATTGGCCCACCTTGGCCTCCCAAAGTGCTAGGATTACAGGTGTGAGCCACCGCGCCAAGCCCATACAACACATTCAAACGACCTGTTTTTTTGTTTTTTTTTTTTTTAAGCTTCCATGTCAGTGTTTTACTGAGACCAGCATTGGGGCATATGAGACACAAGGAATCCAGCTCTGTTCCCTAGAAGCCATCCACAAGGTTTTCCTTGTAGACGTCATCACTCTAGACAATCTGGGTCCTCTTGTCCCGGTGGCAACCCTTAGGGCTGTTCTGGACAGCAAGGGAGCCCCAGACAGACTTGCCAGTAGCGGCATCCAGCATGGGCTGTTTCCCGGCTATGTTGGCTTTGAGCTGTACAGACTCCACCAGGGTCCCGTTGAGCTCAGCAACCGCCTGATCTGCTGACTCCATCTTTTCATAGGTGACGAAGGCACAGTTTCTGGGTGAGTCCATGGAGAGGTCAATGATGTTTCCAAAAGGAGAGAAGGCCCCACAGAGAAGGGCAGGCATCAAGTCTTCTCCATATACATAGAGTATTCCCTTTCCTAGGGGCTCGCGGTTCAAGGAATGAGTCCGACCTGCGGAAAGGACCCTCTCGGTCTCGGTCTCAATGCCGCTCCGGATCCCAATCCCTGTCCGGTTCCCGGTCTCGATCTCGATCCCGATCCCGATCCCTGTCCCGTTCCCGGTCTCGATCTCCATCCCGATCCCGATCCCTGTCCTGCCCTCGGTCTCTATCTCGATCTTGGTCTCTGTCCCGGTTCCTCTCATGGTTGCGGCTTCGGGGAGGGGAGGCTGAGGAGTGGCCACCACTGCGTTCTTCAGAGCCCCAGTCAAAGCTTCGAGGGGACCATCACCAGCCCCTGGGCCCTCTGCCTCTTCTCCATCTGGCCCTAGTTCTCAAAGTCGATCACTAGAAGACACAAGGCTTTCATACAGAGATTTCCTCTAGGGACGTCTGGATGACTCTCACAGGTCATCATCAGCAGATACGCTCCTCTGGAACGGCTGGAAAGTGGGGACTGGTCCCTTCTCGGGGTCCTTTAACTTCCCCTCAAGGGTTCGAGAACGCTTGAAGCCTGAGTTCTTGGTCTCAGCCTTGATGGCACTGATGGCTCCTGACTTCACCAGCTGCTTTGCCTGCTCTGTTGCTGTGGCTGTGTCCACGACAGGCTGCTCTGATAGTGAGCATTTGACACCGCCTTGGCTGGTTGTGCTGCTGCTACTTTGCTTCTTCAGAGTCAGCAGTGCCTTTTTCTTTTTCTTGAGTTTGTTGAATTTCTTCTGCAGAGCCTCCTCTTCCTCGCTCAGTCCGGAAGCCACCAACATGGTGGCTCCTGAGGGGGCGGCCACTGCAGGCCCCACGGTCTCCGGCCGCGCCCGCGCTGGCCGCTGACAGCGGGCTCACAACGATGACCTAAACGACCTGTTTTTGTTCACAGTGCTAGTAATTAGAAGGAATGCAAATCGAATTCTGATATTTTATATTTTGGTTTCTATTATCACTTGATTTTTTCAGAAGAATAAATAATATTATAAAGAATACTCATTATAATAACTTCCTTCTTTCTCATTATAAATCTACTTGGCTCACTTAGGCAAATACTTTTTTTTAATTGATCACCAACCAAATAGCTATAACACTTCAAAAAAAAGGACTTAAGAGCTGTCTAAGTCAACTTGCTAATGTTCTAGTTGGGGAAATGATCTAAGTGACTGCCCAAAGATACACAGCAATTCAGTGACAGAGAAAGTTCAAAACAAATAAATTAAACTGTGATGATCCTAGTTCTTCAAACACTACTTCTAAGTATTCTTAGATTTTTTTTTCCTGAGCTTGCTCGCTAATTACTCTGTGTTTTAAGCATACTTCAGTTTCTCCAGCTTATTTCCCAATCACATAGGGATCCAATTCTACTCATATGTTGCATTTCTAAATGTACAATGCTACTTTCAGTCTGGTCCTAGAATTAAAATAATTCAATAGTCTCTAAACTAATCTTTTTATCAGAGTTACAGATCATTCATTAAAGGGCAGGAAGAAGATACATTATTTTCATATTTGGTTTTCATTTCATTGTTTGCTAGGCTAACATATTCGTTTAAAAATATATTCAAGGTATTTTTAAATGTTTTGGGGGAAGTATCTTCTTTCAGAATGTATACACATGTTTTAAAACAAATGCCATCTTTTGATATGAACTAATTAAACTAGAATCCAGTACAACCAAAATACTACCGTAGCATATAATTTGTGTCTTTTTAGAAAAGAAATATTCCTAGTGTGTTCAAGAAAAGACTATAAATCATTACACTGTGTTTATTTCATATTTCCCATGATACCATTTACTCTAGCTTTTAGCCTTTTATGTGACATTGAGCCATTTTGCAGTTATAAAACAGTTGAAAAGAATGACCTGTTAATTTGACAGGGACGCATTATAATATCTCTCTCTGGCACTATAATATTTTAATTTCTTTTCTGAAGACAAACCAGTTGGAAAGTGACCATCTGCTAGTATGTTAGTATTATTTAGGCAAAGTAATGAACAAATGTCCTCCTTTGCAGTAAGAAGAAGATGACTAAATGAAAGAAATCCAGGGTGAACAACTGAAACAGACTGATTCAATGCCACGTAAAATGCCTTTTTCATTATTTACTTACAACTCAAACAACAGCATTTTAAAACATGCATTGATAGTATAAATAAATCTTCTGAAATCTACTTTTTACACTCACTCAAGAAATATATTACAAAGCAAACAATTAAAAATAAAACTTTCTATCAATTCTTCTCATATAATTTCTTCAACATCTATTTAAACATAGATAGGCTGTCCCCATCATAAACACCTTTCAACCATGTGATTTCAAAAATGTAAACACAGTAACTTAAATTTCTCAGGTTGCTATTTTTTTCATGTATTTTGAAACATTTTCCAAAAATATATGCCATCCACATTCAATGAGTTAAGAGATATTTATTTACCAATAAATTATTACAGGAATGTCAAATTAATTAATAAATAGATATCTGATCTTAATTATGGGTAATTTCTCTGTATGTATAAATGTGGATCCTACAGTAAGTACATAAGCTGTGTACCTAATGAGAAACTCCTTCATGTTAGCTACGTTAAGGGAAAAGAGCAAAGCATGTCACTGAAATACTCTTCTTGTGCCTGAGGGAAGTGCTTTGAACATGAAAGATTTGCATACTTGGAAAGCTATGGCTTCCCTGAATCTCTGGAAAGCTTACCAGATGAGAGTAAACTTACGAAACTGTAGTCCAATTTTTAGGAGCAGAAACTATAAATGCTTATTCATTACAACTGCATAGTATTCTAGTATAGCAAACAAATGGAAAATTATGGATTTTTATAATAAACATTCGTAGCCAGTTTTTTAAAAATCTGTAAACATGAATTTATTGAGATTTTTCTTTCAAATAAGATTAAACTGGCTATGTCAACCCTGACTTATGATTAACACCTGGTAAACATTTTAAACGGATTTAATTGCTATTAAGCAGATAAGTCACACTCAATAACTTCTAAAGGTAAGGTGTCCATATAACTACCTATAAATGGCAGTAGCTAGGTTTTTTTTAAGGTCTATCTCTAACTTGCCTTCCCCAAAATACCAAGAGCTTTTATTTTTATTTTTTAACAAAGCAAGGTTTTTAAAGCAAACAACCACCAAAAACAAACAAACAAACAAACAAACAAAAAAGCCATGTTTTGCATGTATTGTTCCTAGGTTTAATTTCAGTAAAATGTGGCTCTAAAAATAAATGTGATACACGCTACATAATTAAATATTCCTCGTTCATTCAGGTCAAACTAGGAATGTGTGTTGTTCTTTGAGTATCTCCAGAACCCCAAGTACACACACATTAAAATACTGAAACAATTTACTGGCTCCTTCCATGACTTAACACTGATGTAGCATCTTACTATACGTATCAGGCAAGATTCTCAGTACTTTATGAATAATATTATATTCCTTTAATCCTCCTAATAGTAATATTTTAATCCTCATTTTAAAGATATATAAAACAAAGCAAGAGAGGTTAAGTGGCCCAAGGTTATGAATAGAAGAACTGTGATTCAGACTTATTCAGACTAGCTCTAGATTATGCTCACAGCACTATGTTATGCCACCTTAGTCATGTCAATCGCAGCAATAAATTTTAATGCACAGAGGTGAAGGCAAATATTCTTAAGTGAGAAAGTCAATCCTGAGAAATATATACTACTTTATGCCACCTTGACGTGAGAATATCTATTAAAACAAAATGTTGTTAATTCATGGACACTTCAATACAAAACTATTAAAAAGGATGGCCAGGGAGACAAGAATAGGAGTTAATATTGTAGAATGAGGGGTTGGGCAGGAGTGGTTAAGATGAGCACTCAGAGAATCCTGGCTCAGGGAAGGAATCTAATATACTTTGAATTCCACTACATTAGAAAACCGAGGTTGTTGATAAACCTCAGCCACAGTCCACAGCTTGGAAACTATGGCTAAAAGTTTTTGAAGCTGAACTTCCACAAGTATATTTAGCTGTGTAAAAGCTAAAGGTAGGGAATAACAATAAATGTCAAGAAATCTTAATAATTTTTTTCTAGTTTGAGGATTTGAGTTACCTGGATTCTGTCACTAAATTACTACCTTACCCTGAACAAAAACATCAAGTCTTGAACTACTCTGCATCTGATCCTTCGAGTCAAAAATTGGGGTGTTGGATTATTAGCTTCAGAAAGCCCTAACTTCTACAAGTCTTTAACTTAGTCACTCTAGTTAAACAAGTACTTATTGATAGCCAGGTAACTCCACTTATTAATACATGAAAAGCTCTGTTAAGTACAAATCAGGGAGTTCTCTAGTGGTTTGAAAGGATTTAATAGAATCAGAGGAAACAGTAATTTTATAGCACATAGAATAAAAGGTCACATATTGTCTAGTATTATTAAGAGGTTTATAGGAAATTAAAATACTACAGATTACAATGTAAAGATATATCATAAAAACAAATATTGGGATTCTTAAGTATTATTTCATGAGAGTATATATAAAATTATGATAAAAATAAATGATAAAAGGTATTTAACTTACAAGTATCCTCTTCAAAAAATATTTCAGAAATACATTCAAAGCATATAATAAAACCAATCTTAATTCCACTTTCGACCAGGCATCAAAAACTCTACATTTTTAATGTATTTATTTCATATAAAGTCTTATATGAAATATAAAGCACTGATAACTCTTTAAAAAATATTCTAAAAATTAGCTCAAGTATGGTAACTTTGGTAAAATGTCCAACTTTTTACAATACCTTAACCATTTATTGAAAAACCAAAACATGATAATTCTCAAGGTCTAGACTCTTAGAAGTAGACTTGTTTTACAAGCACTTTTTATACAGTATTCTCCTTATGCACTTTAAAAAGTTGAACTACTATAGCAAATGCATAATTGATTTATAAGGGAAAAAGTTCAAGTGAAGGACATACTATTAACTGTGCATTAGAGAGACGGGGTGGAGGAAAATGTACCTCTCTGGAACATTTTGAAAGCAATGATTACAAAAATGCAAATGCCAGATATAGGTGATGCTTTCCACTTCACAGCAGCACCTAAGTCACACACAAACCCTAAGCCCCCTCCAAAAACAATAACAAAAGGACAGACTACATATCAAGCTACAAATAAAAGGCAAGTGTTTTTCCATTATGGACATGTAAGAAGAGTGCTACACTTAATTAGTATTTTAAAGAGTAAGATTTAACTGTTGTTCCAAATTTATCCAAGTACATCAAGAATCTGGTCACAACATGGTACAATATAAATAGATTCAAACATATCACAGTTAAAAATCCTACATAACAATGAACAATGTTATTAACAACCTAATGGAATATAACATACTCATAATGTTTCTGTCACTGAAAAGCATTAGAAAGCTGTTTTAATCAAATTTTGCTTCCTAAATTCTGAAATTCTGTATTTTGTTAAATGACAGAAATAGATCTTTATTTTCCTATACATTTTTCATCCCAAACCCATACGAATAACTACTCCAGCCACTCAGTTTTCAACCCAACACTATAAGACAAGCATTATTAGGGAAGCGGGCCGGCAGTTGTTCACTCTGTCATATCCTTTTAATGCAACTCTGATTTGCCTTTGTTCTGACGGCCGCAGACAACTACTTAAAAATGACCCAGCATCACTGGGCTGACTCCCATTATTCCACACTTTTGTTTGACAAGGTCACTTGCAGCAGAGATTTTGGGGATAAAGAGTGTGCAGCCTATAGAAATAAGAGTTTAAGACACAGGCAACCCAGCCATTTTTCCTCTGGCAGCACAAGCAAATTAAAACTTAAAAAAGAAGGTCAGCTACAGTAGCTCACACCGGTAATCCCAGCACGTTGGGAGGCTGAGGCGGGTGAATCACCTAAGGCCAAGAGTTTGAGACCAGCCTGACCAATGTGGTGAGACCTGTCTCTACTAAAAATGCAAAAATTAGCTGGGCATGGTGGTGTGTGCCTGTAATCACAGCTACTAGAGAGGCTGAAGCAGGAGTATCGCTTGAACCCAGGAGGCGGAGGTTGCAGTAAGACTGAAAGATGGCGCCACTGTACGTCTAGCTCTTGGGGTACACGAGGACAGACCTCATCTAAAAAAAAAAAAAAAGAAAGAAGAAGAAGAAATGAAAGGGAGACGAGAAAGGGGAGGGGAGGGGAGGAGGGAGAGGGAAGGGGAGGGGAGGCAGGCAAGACAAGAAAGAAAGAAGAGAAAGAAAGAAAGAAAGAAGAAGCGAAGAAAGAAAGAAAGAAAGAAAGAGAGACAGAAGGAAGGAAAGAAGAAGGGGAGAGACGAAAGAAAAGAAAAGGAAGAAGAGAAAGAAGAAGAAAAAGAGGAAAGGAAGGAAGGAAGGAAGGAAGGATTGATTGATTCAGGAAGAAAGCAAGTGGAGAAACATTTCGGAAAAACTCAAGGATACACTTTCAGCTTTATCTTGGTTTTAACTTTCAATAAAAATTTAATTTATGACTAATTTCATTAAGAGGAAAACAGACAGGTACCTCTAAGTACCTTCGTAATTCCATCAACTTCATAATTCCATCAGATGTTGACTGTTACTTTTGATAAATTTTACACAATATATAAATCAATCTTAAACTTATAGGTAAAATGTTTAATCAATATTCCGCCAAGGTTCCAAAAGGTACAATTGACACTATAAAGCTGACCCTTTAATTTTCAGCTTGACCTATGATCTTCGGAAGGGCTTAAAGCTACATTACGACAATTTCATACAATTAAGTTGTTTCCAAAGGGAGCCATGAAGACTGAAATGGCAAGTTTTCAATGCCATGGAAGAATGTGAAGAAGGAATGTTGCAGGAGCTACCCAACCAAAACAAATCATGATTTTGTGATTTTGAAAGTTTATGAGTGAGAAAAGATCTAAGAAACTCTTTACACATTTTTAGGATAAAACTCCCTAAACATGACATAGAAATCTGAAGTTAAATAGTTACTGACAAATATTTATCACTCCTCCATCTTTTTTACCTACATATATAATTAGAGAGCTTTGTACATTTTTCATCTTGATATGTAACCATCAGAAGGAATATGAGTCAATAGTAAATTTCAATATTTTATTAATGCTTAACTAAAATAAAACAAATTCTTTTCAGCAACT